AATATTTTTCATGACAAGGTAGACTTGTTAATTTGCAAACCCTGTTGCTGGTTTGCCGGGGCCATCCTGCAGCTGGCTCCTGGGAGCTGGTGAGGAATGCTGCCCATGGAAGGCAGCCTTTGGAGGGAGCATGGAACCTGCTCCTTGGGATCCCTGATGTGCCACTTGTCCTGCTGCCTGCGTGGCACTTCACTGMTCCACCTGTGGCCTTACAAAGGGAAGTGCTTTTATTCCACAGGAAATGGACATGGGCAAGGGAAATCACCCACTTCACTCCTTAGGAGAAGGTGGTGCCCGGAGTGATTTCACCCATGGTGGCACAAGGTGCCCACACTGCTTCTTCTGCAAGAAAGTCACCCCTGTGTGTGTGAAGCAGCGAGTGGGACGTGGCAGCTGTTTTGTTATAAATACAGCTCATGAATTGAGTGCAAGAGGAAACAAAAATCTCTTCTGTTAGAAACTGTTCAGCTCAAAAGTGGAGGAAAAGAAAGGGCAGCTCAAAACTGCCTACAGACAACAAACCCCTGCCTGGGTTCACCTCTTCCTGAAATACCCCTTGAGTGCTTGGTGCCACAATTCCAAGAGATTCCATGATTCCTTGAGCAACGTGATCCTGTGCTTTCCTTCTGCCAGCAGACAGCACAGGCACATTTCCCTGAATTTTGGTGTCCTGAGCCAGGGTGTTTTCACTTGCTGGATGACACCACTTCCTGTGCTAGAACAGAGATGGAACCTCACTGGAGGRAGACATCGTTCTGCTGGCTCAGTCAGGAGCCCGGGATTAAAGGGCAGCCTCTTTGCTGTCATGGCAATAGGAATGCATGGCAGATAGAAGAGCGGAGCTGATTAAGGCGATATCATGATTGCCACAAGGTACGTGACTCAGATCCCTTAGGCAGCTAATGGGGACTGTGACCTGGAATAAYGCTCCGGGCTTTGCCTTCTGCAGCTACCAAGCATTCATGGGGTGAGCAAAATGCTGAAGAATGGCTTTAAAAACAAAGACTATCTGGCACAGAGATGAAGCAGGAGAGAGCTGTTGCTTTTACCTAAGCAGTATTTTTACTTWTAACACCATTTTTATCGGTGAAGGAATGTGATGTCTCTGTCTAGGAACGTCAGCACTGATCTATCCCAAATTACCATATTACATCTGTTTGAGAGAGTGCAATGTAACTCAGCRAAGTCATTTGTCACAATCTTACTAACTTGTTTTCCAGAAGAAACTCCTGATCACATTGAGCAATTTAAAATAGCTGTCAGTCAAGTTTAGCAAGCTGAAAGATACAAACAAAATATTCAAGTCAGTTGGATAGCACAGGAATTTTGGATTTGGTGTATAAATGAAACAAAATCAGTTAGACAACCAAGAAACACATAGCTCRCCTCTGCCACCTGGAAGAACTATGCTAATATTTTGTAATACTGGTATATTCTCTTCTGCGTTAATATCCATCCTTTCCAGTTAAAAGTCCTTGTCAGCCTAATCCCTGGTTAAAAAAAAATTTAGAAGGAAAATAATTTTAATGATAGAAGTACCCCTGGTATTTAATCTCTTTTTTTAATCACTTGAATACAAGGAAACAAGAAAACTAAACAGTCATAGTGGTGGYGATTCTGCTGCCCATATGATGTTTTTCAAATGTTATCTGGACAAGCTATTAAGAATTTTTAAGAGAACCCAGAGAAACAGAAACCAACTCTTTTTTAAAATTCAACACTGTTAGCTCTAAAAAACAAATTCTGGGGATGAAATTAAGTTATTTCTTTAGGTACAAAGTTTCCTCTGATAATGACAGCCATCACTTACTAATTTCAAGGTCTTTTAAAAAATARAGGGTCTTGAGTTTCTCCATATAGAATGCATTAAATGAAGGTACTTTATTAAAGGACTGACATTTCAGAATACAGAGTCAGATGGTCAAGTAGGTGAGTGGAAAATGCTGCAGATGGTCTTTTAATCTTTATTAAAATTATTCTTAATTCATATTCTTCTTAATGTACTTACATTATAAATACATTTCTGAGCATCACTGAAGTTTCAAAAGGCTTTTTGTCTTTCACTGACAAATGTAATTCTCATCCTTTTGAGAGGACTGGTACAGCACTATGAAAGGGTTCTTAATGTGTATCTGTGATCTGTTCCCACTATGAAGTATGTTGAAAAGAACAGAGCTGCACTGGGTAATTTTGTGGAATAAAGTCCATTAGCACTGTTGGAAGAATAATTTATTCAAGTATGTGGTAGATAATGTAATACCTGAAGGAATAAATTGTATTTAAATATTTATTACAAAAATAATTATGGAGAATTAGAGTTAAAAGCTGGACAATGAACAGCAAGCAGTTAGCACCACACAGGCTGATTGTATCACCTAATTCCCATAAGGATTTTTTTTTTTTTTTTTTGCAAATCTGTCTTTTAAAACCCTTTTTATGCTCCTCAATCCTAATACTGGTTTTGCAGATTTGGGAACTGAAGATTTGTCTATTTAGCAAAGTTTCTATAGTTAACAATACAGCAGAGATGTACTTAGTTTGGTATTAAAATGCTTTTTTTTTTTAAATACTTGCAGCTATTTTCCTATAGAGATAAGAGAAACAGAATGCTAATCTTATGCTRGGTAAGAGTTTTCACTCAAGAGCCATGTAAAGGGTACATTTAAACATCACAGTGACTGATTATTGTGTTCATATTTACAGATTTCCTTCATATTTCTGTCAGATAGAAGGTCTTCAGAGCAGAAGCTACTTTGTATTAGAAATAATATTAAAGAGAAAAAATATGTTTTCTGCTTAGAGAGGCTCCTGGGTTCAGTTTTCTTGTTAGAGGAGAATCATCCCAAATGTGATTTCAAAGCCCAGGAATGGAGGGAAGAGAGCAGAGAGGGCACAGAGATTGTAGACAATCTGTTTGTCAAGTACCAGTCCATGCCTGACTGCCCAAATCTTGAATGACTTCATAACCAGGTGCCAGGTACTTGGTTTTATTTTGCATTTTTGTGAGCTTCTGTTGCAGATTTTCAGTGAATATTTTATTGTTTCAACAGGTACTGCGATGGCTGCAGGAGTTTTGCTGCAAAATGAACTACCATACACCTCATTGATAGAGAGCAGTGTGTACCTGGCAAACATGAATTCAGGTAAGAATTTGTGTCTGATATACCATTCATAATAAATGCTTTGAACAATTCTGGACAAAAAAATACACAGTGTTTGGGTTTTTTTTTAAGCTCATTAATATCATCTGTGTTTATAAATTTAGAATATCTATAAGAAAACCAAACTACATTATTTCATCAACATATCATGGTGATAATATGTTGATCTTTCCTGTAATTTTCATTTTATCAGATTTCTTAATGGAAGAAACTATGTTCTTTTTGTGTTGAGAAACTGCCTAGCTCTCTGAAAATACAAACCTGCCTTCAACAAAACKTCCCTTTCTAATAATTTAAACTTTTACAGGATGCAATTCTTTCTTACCATTCTGGGTGAGTGTTTGCAAACCTGCTAGATTCAGTAGGAAAATGATGATGTGCAGCRTTTTATTTTCTTCATTTTTGCCTCCACTGTCATTTGATACATACTGAAAAAAGTTTCTGTGAAGAGAAAGAGAAAAATAATTAAATATAAGAAAGGAATGTAAGTAATTAAAAAACATTTTTCACATTTCTTAGRTACAGGTAGCACTTGAAATAGCCTTTTTCATCTCCTTTCTCTTCCACCCACCCCCTAAAATAAAAGCATATTTAAATGTTTCTTCACCTCTTGGTATCAGCTCTATTGATGAATGAAGAATCAAGGTTTTGAGACAACAGCTCAGCTTGAACATTTTCCTTTTCTCATATGCCATCACTGCGGATATTTCAGGCCTGGTACCCACAGCAAATGTTGCCACGTCTCTGAAAGAGCTGAGGAGCAGCAGTCAAAGTTCAGGCTCTCAGTTCCTGATTATACCTAGAAGAAACAGATTTTCACCTGGTGAATTTGTCCCAGAAGAGAACTTTCTGTTATGTAAATTCCTCTGGATGAGTTTTGTAGTACAAACAGAAACACAGACTGACAATASTATGTATTTTAGGAAAATGCATTGGCATTAATTTGTTTATTTACAAAGTTTAAGTGGATTTTCTTCATTTCCCTAGCCTTCTTTCAGAGCAGTCTAGTGCACACACATTGGGATGGCAGAGGCTTTTTAGCATCACAGGATCCATTCTCCACATAGCTGCTTTTCCGAGTGCTGCAATCTTTCTGGCCACCTCATTCTCCTGCTCAGCACATTGGAAGCAAAGTGGGAGGCAATTTGCCACCTCATACCTACCTTCAGAAGCCTGAAGCACTCAACTGACACACCTTCTCCTCCATATGATCCGCTTTCTCTCAGGCTACAGGGTTAACAGCTTTGCTTCATAAAAAAAAAAAAAAAAAAAAAAAAAAAAAAGCCCTGAAAAAAACCCCAGCCTTTTGTTTTGAATAACAAATTGTGTTTTGTTACAAGATGAGAATGGTCCACGCAAACAGTCTACAATTCATCATGTACAAAAGCATTTCAGCAGGAACACACTAATCCCAATCATTACACAGCTAATGATGCATTTTGGAGCAGGAAAGTGGAGGAGGAGAGGTGGTTGTGGAATGAAAAACCAAGAGGTGGGGGAGTATAATGTAATTCCTTACAGATCTCTCAGGAGGCAGAGCTTCCAGCTACATTTTGATTGTTCTTTTGAATCAAGTATTTTGTGTCTTAGCGAGTTCTGAATGCCTGTTATTGAGCAGGARCTAAATAGTCCCATTGTTTGTGAAAAACATTTTGCTTGTTCCCAGCGAGTTTTGAAAATTACCTACTTGAAATGCAACTATTTTCATCAAGCGGCAGAACAGTTTGTCCCAAGCAGACGCAATCCCTGTGCAAGGGAGCAGCCCGGGGCTGGCTGGCAGCAGCGCTTGCATCCTCCGTTACCATGGCGACAGCTCAGCCCGCGGGGACCAGCTGCTGGAGCACGCACGGGGATGCTCCGCTTCCCGCAACTTCTGCGTTGAGCAACTTCCCTCCGCTCAGAGCGCCCTGGGCAGCGGCGCCGGGCGGAGCTGGGGCCGGGCAGCCATGCAGCCTTCCCCCCGCAGGCGCTCGGCTGTCAGCATCTTTAGCCATTTCTTCCAGGGGCGGAGGCATTCCTCCTCCGACCCCCTTCTCCGCCTCAGCCAGCGGCGCCGCAGCTCCGTGGTGGAGCTGCTCTCCTCGTCCACGCACCGGGTCATGGTGGCTCTGTCGTCGCTCAGCCCCGAGGAGCTGGATGCAACTTTTCCTGAAAAAAAAAGTAAAGTACTTTTCATTAAGACTGTTGGTAGTTCTGCGTATTTTCTCGTTATTATTATACTTTYGTTCTGTTACTGTTAACTGTGGTTTTTATGTGTGGATAAAATAGTGGGATTTAATTTTCTTCCCGTATTTTATATTTTGTTCACTGATTCTTTATTCAAGTATGAATACATGCTTTTTACTCTTAACAGCTCGGTTATAAATAGCAGGTAAAACAGAAGCACACGTTCATGCGTACACCAAGGATACAGTTAACTGTTTTTGATTTCAGGTTGAAGAGGACTATGACTTTTTTTTTTCCAGTTGCAAAGGATCTCACCTCTAACTTAATCAGAAAACTAACTGACATTAATGCAAACMGTTTTTTCCTCTCATAATCCTTACTTGAAAAATGAGCCTGAAATACATATTCCATCTATTTATGCTGTTTGCAAGTTCACCCATTCGAGGCTGCGCTGCTGCTTTTCAGGCAGAGATGCTGTGAGTGAGCTCCCTTGCTAACCCCGGTTTTTCCTGTGTCGCAGGGAGCTCGGGGCGCCCGACGGCCAAGTACACCAAGGTGGGGGAGCGGCTGCGCCACGTCATCCCCGGCCACGTGCAGTGCTCCATGGCCTGCGGGGGCCGCGCCTGCAAGTACGAGAACCCCGCTCGCTGGGCCGACCACGAGCAGGCCATCAAGGGGCTCTACTCCTCTTGGTGAGCAGCTCGATACATCTAACTGCAGCAGTTGCATTTATTACAAGACAGAGCAAAACAAAACAGCTTTTTTCTTTCTTTTTTTTTTTTTTCTTTTTTTTTTTTTTTTTTTTTTTTTTTTTTTTTTTTTTTTTAATCAGTTGCTAAGTGTAAAACATAACACGAATTTGATTTGGAATTAGAGCTTGACATAGTGGCCATTGTACACAGCCCAGTAAAGATGATGAAAGGTTTCTGTTAGCTTACAGTGAGTTTGGTTCAGATCCAAAAGAATAAATAGCTATCTATCAGGAATTATAAAAAAGCTGTTCTGGGCTACTAAGGATTAAGATGCAAATTAATTAAACATGTTAATAATAGAATTGAAAAGTAAAAGCATTTCCTGCAGATTAAATAATGTGGGGATGTATTCAGAAGAATGTCTATATGCAGCAAGAGCCACATGAAATGTATCTTTATATTCTTACTGATTTTTTTTTCTAACAGCAAATGCTTAAAGGGCATTTACAAACCTTAAAGGGACAAATAGGAATCTGACTCCAGATTCCTATTCAAAKGAATTTTTGGCATTCACAGGAATCTTGGCATTTAAGCAGTTACAGTAATTGTCTTTTGATAATGTTTTATCTATATCAGCTTACTAAGATTTATCACTAGCACTATGGCATAGTAGAATTTTTTAAAAGTAATTTCTAATTGATCATCAAGGTATTTCTCTCTTTCTTGAATATAATGGTATTCTTATTTTGGAAGACTCATATCCAGGGAATTATTCATGATAACGTTGTTACCTGCTTCTTTAATTTCTCAGGATAACAGATAACATCCTGGCTATGGCTCGACCCTCAACAGAATTAATTGAAAAGTACAACATTATTGAGCAGTTTGAAAGGTAACAAAATTTGTAGTTATTTATTGTAAGTATTACTAGTGTAATTCCTGATCCATTTTCTCTTTCAACATAGATTTGGATTGTTGATAAAGATCCTTTCATTTTAACGCTCTACAGGTAAAGATTTATTCTTCACAAAGAATAAATGTCTGTTTCAGAAAATAAGGAACAATGAGATTTTGGCTGTGTGTAATACTTTGACTCATCTATTCCTTCCCTAAGATGCGGCATAAAAACCATAATTAATCTTCAGCGTCCTGGGGAACACGCAAGCTGTGGGAGCCCACTGGAGCAGGAGAGCGGCTTCACCTACCTTCCTGAAGCTTTTATGGAGGCTGGAAGTGAGTTCCCTCCTGCTGCTGTTCCTCATTAATTATTGAGTTTGGCACTTAAGGATATTTTTACTTGAATTCATGTGTGTTAAATGCAGCTGTGTAGGAAAATTTGCACAAAGTGGGATGTAAACATGAAACCTGGCAAATGTAATCAAGAGTAAATAACACATTATTGAAGGTTGTGTATTATGCAGAGAGAGATGGAGGGTTTGTATTCAGGTATTTAGAAAACAAGGAAGGACAACGGTTAAATTTTCCTTTTTCTTCTGCATTCACAAATATCTGAACCATTAACAGTGTGTCAAATTCTGGTACWCTCATGTTTTCTCATCAAGACTATAAAAGGTTATTTCATGTGAGGACACTGGTGTTGGCAGTATTTTTGTATTTTCATATTAAGGTGATAAAAAAGAAAGTGCCTTTCTGTAAGAAGCAGCTATGACTGAAGAAGTGCTTTTATTTCTGAAAAGAAACAATTACCCTCTTCCTATATATAGTTCAGTAATTTTGCATGAATCACTGTTTTGTTACACCTTTTACATTCTAGCTGAACTAGAGTTTGACAAATCTTTGATAGCTTCGTGTATCTATCAAATTTCAATAGCAAACATACACTGAAATGGGAAAACAATCTCTTGCAAACAAGATGTAGTCAGATTTTAAGCTTCATTGTGCAATTTTAATACTATAATTTTTTATTAGTAATTTCTCCTGTGCATATAGTACTCCATATTTCACATTCGTTGTGGCAGAAAATTGCTGTCTCTCTTTATTTTAGTTTATTTTTATAATTTTGGCTGGAAGGATTATGGAGTAGCATCTCTCACGACTATCCTTGACATGGTAAAAGTGATGACATTCGCCCTGCAAGAGGGGAGGGTGGCTGTTCACTGCCACGCAGGACTCGGGAGGACAGGTACGTGCTCTATGCAGGAACAGCACAAGGGGTCCTCCAGAACTTCCAACCATCTCTGGTTATAAACCATTAATAACTGGCTTAGATTCCCTATCATTGCAACATGTACCTCTATAAAATGGTTAAAAGTGCTAAACTGATTTGTCTAAATGTCTTCAATGGCTAAAGAAGATCAGCTTTAGTCTATTAAAACCAAAGACCTGTAAGATTAGAGAAGCTTTTAGTCTGYATAATGGTTCCATTACATTCAAATGTACCAGCTGCTTTTGGAAGGGAAAAATTCCCCTGGTACTCTTTCATTGTCCAGTATTTATAACATATTCAGAAACCTGCCACTCATTGTTCGAGTAGGTAGATTTGGTGGAGCACCTGAAAYTTTATTTGCTCCTTTCAAGTCCTTTTTGATTGTGTCCTTCCCATAGAAGCTCCCATTGCTCCTGTGTTTGTGAAGGATGGAACTCCTGGAGAGGCTGTGGTGAGCTTCCACTGTGGTGCAGTGAGAAGGGCTTTATTCTCTTGCACAATTCACATGCAATTACGTTTAAGTAGCAGCATCACGTAATAGAGGACACTGAGTCTTTACCTATATTCATTTTTGTCCCATATTTCCACTGAGTATTTATTTTATTATGACAGTTCCTTAACTAATCCTGACTTTGTATTTTCCAGGTGTTCTAATAGCTTGCTACTTAGTTTTTGCCACAAGAATGAGCGCTGACCAAGCAATTCTCTTTGTCAGAGCAAAAAGGCCTAATTCTATCCAGACCAGGGGGCAGTTACTGTGTGTCAGGGAGTTYACTCAGTTCTTGGTCCCTCTGCGCAACGTCTTCGCATGCTGTGAGCCCAAGGCACACGCAGTGACCCTGTCGCAGTACCTGACCCGCCAGAGGCATCTGCTCCACGGCTATGAGAGCCGGCACCTCAAACACGTGCCAAAACTAATCCATCTGGTTTGCAAGCTGCTGCTGGACCTAGCTGAAAACAGACAGGTGATAGAGGCAGAGCTCCTGGACATCCCAGACCTCTCAGCTGAGATTGAGAAGACTGTGTCCCAGCTGGCATCCACAGAACTGGACCGGGAGCTGGCCAGGCAGGACAGCGACACGTCGGACTCATCCCACACCCACTCCTCCGCTTTCGAAGTCCAGGACTCTCACTTCTCCCTGGGAAATGAATGTGATTCTYTTTGTAAAGGAAGGAATGTCGAATGCCTTCAGCCTCTTACTCATCTGAGAAGGCGTCTAAGCTACAGTGAGTCAGATCTAAGGAGAACTGAGTTTCTTTTCGAACAAGATGACACTGCCTGGACGGTGCCTGCTCAGATCTTACTGAACAACAAACTGAAGCAGAACAGTGGGGAGGAAAGTTCTGCCACAGATGAAGCAAAGCCACAGCTGGAGTTAAACAAAGACGCATTAGTGCGTAACACGTGCATGTTCTGGAGTCAAGGGAAATTTAATTTGGGTGGGCGAAGGGGCGGATCCTCACATTATCACAGAAGGAACTCTACCAAAGAAGTACAACGCAGCAGGACCTTTTCTTCAGGTCTTTCATCCATCAACAATCCCAAGGAGCCCAGGATGCCGAGGTATAACTTTGCCAGTGAGACTGGTCATAGGAAGGACCACAAGACCAATATATATGGCAGAAGAGTCTATCTCTCTGACGACTCTGATTCTTCTTCTTCTTCCAAAGTGAACTTTTCCATTGGAGATGAAAGCCAAAGTAGCAGAGATGTGTCAGAGACAATTCCACACATTGTTGTACAGTCAGAATTAACTTTGGAAGCCCGAAGAATTTTGGCAGCCAAAGCACTTGCAGATATAAACGAATTTCTGGGAGAGGATGAAGTGAAACAGAAGGTAGAAATGTGGCAGGTAATTTTTAACTCATGTTACAGGCTCTGCATATTTCACCTCAGTGAATTCCTTGAATTGCAAAAATGCCACATGGAGCTTTGAAATAGCACATTGGGATAACAGTTTATATGAGGTGCAGTAATGATTGTACTTGTCACTTAGGGTCAGTTCTTTTCAAGGCTGGCAAAAGGCTCCTACAAATTCTGGTCTCTAGCAGGAAGGTAGAGATCTCATTTCTGGTTACGTTCATTTTCCTAACTGGGGAAAATTGATGCCAYTATCTCTGGTAGTAATGTGGCTGCTGGTGGACAGAAGTAGTACAGATTTTAAGGGTTTGAGTCAGTTTTCATCRGTGCTTTGTCAGAACTAATCAGAGGATTCATCAGTAAAAGTAAATTAATTTAGTAGAAACTTAATTGCTTATCCTCAAACCCAAATCCTCTTAGCAAAATTTGCTTTGAAGTTGGAATGCAAAGATGATTTATGTATTCCAGTACAGTATTGGGAGGTTCTCAGCTGCACTGCTGATGTCATCCTTCCGTTTTAAAGAATCACTTGTATTACTGCTGATTAACATTGATATTCTGAAAAAAAAAATTTTTTTTTTTTTTTTTTTTTTGTAACTCCTAAGTCTTTCCTTGCTGGAACATAGGCAGCCAAGTATTGCTACAATCAAAGAGAATGTTGGCAAAGGTAAATAGATGATGCATTTTTGGTTTTGTTTTTTCTGTTTCAAGAAAGAACTGAATTCTCGAGATGGAGCTTGGGATAAAATCTGCGCCGAGAGAGATCCTTTTATCCTCTGCAGCTTGATGTGGTCATGGCTAGAGCAGCTGAAAGAACCTGTTCTATCCAAAGATGATATTGACATGCTGGCAAAAAATTGCACAGAATCCCAGGATGCACTCTACTTGCTGAGAAAGGTACATATTGGATCTGACAATTCATTCTTTAACTTCAGACAAGGGARTTGCCCTTTTAAAAAGCCACTTCAGTCTTTTTAAAAATCAGAATGAGAGTTCATTCTGTATTGAATTATGTGAGTTGTCACTCAATACAGTGTTGTCACATTGAACACTATGGCCATGGATATGACAAGAATACCAGACACAATCATGGGACACCACTCAGCAGCAGCTCAACTGCAGCACATTTCCCCACAAATCCTGCAGCAGGAGATCCAGGCAAAGAGGAGAAACCTTTGTCCTGCGACTCTGTGGGTGTCTGTGTCCCACCTGGCAGCTGTGCTTTATGGTGCTTTATCCCATTTTCTGTGCAATCAGCTTAATATGGCAGCTGTGGGAGAGCTGGGGCAAGGAACAGGAAGAATTTGCTAATTCAGAGAATCAGAAGCCAGGCCTAATTMTTCTACCAAAGTCGGAATTATGCCACCTATATTGAAAAATCCATATGCAAAACAGATACTTTTGATCCAAACTGTTTCATTTTACTTTCCCCAAAAGGTTAGATACAAGCTAAATTAAAAGATAAGTAAAATTCTCCATTCTTGATCTCTTAATTATACTAATTTCCTAACTCTCTGAGAACTCTGTTTCCCAAGTAATGAAGAAAATAGAGCCCCTTTTATCTTTTCTAGATACCCAAAAATACAGCTTCTGATTAATAGGTCAGATCTTTATGTGCAGTCTCCATCTTCATGACATGATGTTCAGAATTCCCACGTTCATGTGAAAACACTGTGTTTCTTCATGAAGCATTCTTGCACTCTATCAGAGTTTTAACTTTATATTAGATAAAAACTCCTTGACACCTGTGATAAATGAATGGGAAAGGAATATTGTTTTTCAAATACTAATTTTATCTTTCCTTGTCCTGTACTATTTCAGAATCCCACAATAGCTGTGCTTGCAGGACCTCTGGATATCTTCCAGTCCAAGTGTTTTGCTCAAAAAAGAGTTACCTGGAGTAGGCTGCTTGTGTGACAAATGCTCCATTCCCTTAATGAAACTGGAAGAGGGATGGGAAGGAGCAGCCACAAAGATCTGTTTCTCCCTTTGTACCTCCTTGCATGCACTGCTGAGGTGTCTTTCTGCCAAATTCCATTGGTGATGGAGACTTGGAAGGATGCAGAGGGGTGCAAGATGGGGAAAAGAGCCCTAAACATGCACAGCATTTTGAGCTGAAAAGATCAAATCTCACCTTTTCTATGCCAATTCACAGGAACGSTACTGTTTGTGGAGGGGATCTTGAAATTCCCAGAAATTTCTAGAAATTCCCAGGCCAGTTCAGGGAGTTTTCCCATTGTGACTGGAATAATGATGCAGAGGCCCTTTAGGTTGGTGGAAGTTCCCTACCATCTCCTGCACCTGAAGATTTCAGTGCAGGAAAGCACAACCTGATGTTTAAACAGCAATTACCAAAACCTGAGTGCTAAAATGCTTTTCATGGAAATATTTCTTCTAATGAGCTGCTGTTCCTTTTACCCACCAGGAACAGTGTCAGACTATCCTTTGTATTTTACACTGTGTGGTGAACTTGCAAACACTGCCAGCTGATGTGGAGGAGGCCTTACTTGCTCGTGCTATTAAAGCTTTCACCAAGGCAAGTAATCATAAATAACTGTCCGTGACATTGTATTAACTTGGTTTAAATAATGAAGGGTGAATCAATCAACAGAGTGAGGCCTCTGTGAGAAAGGTTACAGCAATTCCTTCACACTTTAGTGTGAAGCTTATTTATTTCAGAGTTTACATTTTATAATCATCACCTACATAATGGATAGGAAATATCCATGACAAAATTTAATTCTGTCACTACAGCCTTAATCCTGGAGTCTCATCTTTCTATTTCTGGGCCTCTGCCAGTTCATGGATATCTTCAAATCAGGGAAAAGATAGTTTTTGAGGGGCGACACTAACTAATCGCTGGGAGTAGCTTACCAAAGGCTTTGGTAGATTCCGTACTACTTGAAGTTCTTTCCGTCAGATACAATCATTTTCTGAAATTATACTGCAAGTCAGTTATGTTCCAGGCCTGTAATACAGGATGTGAGTAACTAATTTCTGCTTTGGGCTCATTCAGTAACAGTCACAGGTGAAACTATTGCTCAGATGAGATTTCTTTTCAGATTCAGCCAATGAAATCTGAACTTAAACAGAATGTTCACAATGCTGCTTCCTCATCTCTTGTAAATCTACCTGTTAAAACAATCATGACATTTCTCTTTCTTCTGGTTTATTTTAGTGTCTAGTCAACATAAACTGAAAACACTTACCATTAAGCATCCCATCATAAACACATATTATCTTTGATAAGTCTCAAAGCTATTTTTTTWAAATGTTGTACATCTACTTTGCATTTTGCTGTGTGGCATCTATTCAGTTCAACAACTGAACTGAAACTTCTCTCTTTTATTAGATAAGCTTCGATTCTGAGAATGGACCGTATGTTTACAATACCTTGAAAACTGTATTTAAACAAGCGCTGGAAGAAAAAAGGAAAAGGATTAAAGAAGGAACAGAGAATCCTTCTTGATTTCTACAAAGCTCTGCTGAAGCATTAGATGGGCCTACCAAATTATTTTGCATTTTCCAGCTACTGTATTTTGTGCTACCTGGCATGATCTACCTAACTTTAGGTAATAGAATTTATTAACAAATAATTTTATTTTTTTAGAGGGAGTTTTAGTGGCAATAGTTCAGTCTACATAGCTTTAAAGAACAGCTCCATGTGACTCTCCAGCATTTGGTTTCAGGTACTGTGCTTTTATATTGTAAAGGGTTCTCCTGTTCTCAGATGTGTTTATTGCTTTAGAAACCTCTGTCATTGGCAGGAAACATTATTTTCAAGTTACATGATTGCCATAAATTCAGTGCCACGATCCATAAAGTTTTAATGGATTGACKTCATATTTATGTATTATATATGTTTACATTAATGATATTTGATTTTACTTTGCAGAAAATAAATACTGGCTGAACCTATGAACCTGCTTTTTCTTTCAGAAATTTTGAAATATGACAAAGGGTAATAATGGACAGATCTTGAATCTGTTATTGACAGCAGACGATTTTTTCTGTTAGATCTCTTAAATAATGGTAAGCAGTGTATTTCTAAAAGGTCTTGCAGCAAAGAAATGCACTGTGTTGAGTGCATTTCAAGCCCTAATATCAAGTGCAATATCAAGCCCTAATTTAGACTTCTTCGGCTAAGAAAGCTTCATAATGTTTTTAACAGAAAATTGATTGTGGCATCTTAATTGCTTTGAATAAGAGTAGAATTTTACCTTATTAGCTGAACTCTTATTGATCTGAAGTGAAAAAACACTTCATTATGAAATTTTCATAAGGATATGGTTTTGTCCATACATACATTCAGCAAATACTTGCATAACGAAGTGTGATATAATAATGCTAACAAAATATTAATCAAAACCTTATTATCTGCAATAGACTTTGTAGAGGTATTTTTATCTAATGAAACAGAAACAACTGGGACATCATCATAACACAGTTTTGGATTACAGCCTTAGAATCTGGACTGGAATGCCAGTTGCAGAATGAAGAGTTCATCCAGTTTGATAGATTTAGGTAGTTAAACAAGAATCTATCCTTTTCTGAAATATTTTTATTAGTTTCTGTAAGTGACTAGCATTTGGAGTTAAAAATAGACTGGGTTGAAATATAGATAATTTATACATGCCTCAACTGTTGGATGATTTTGTATCAAATTAAAATTAAAACAGCTACTTTGGCAGAATCATCCTAAAATAGGCACACTTGAAAGGAAAATATCACATGTGAATCACAAACACAAATCCAGCTTTGCAAAGTGGCAAGGCAACATGACAAGCAGTTCTGAGTTAGCATTAGTATTCGGGCTTGGGAACACTAAAATGCACTGGCAAGTATCTTTGTTTCCCAGTGAATTATTTGAGTTTATTACAGTTAACAGCTCCAAACAGCCAGCACCAATTCCTGGTGCTGTTTACTTCAGCCATGTATTTTAGCTGCTTATTTCTACACCCCAAGACACTTGGGGTGTAGAACCAGGGCAGTATTGTTTAAATCAGTGTAATGAACAAGGGCTTTCACATATCATTAGCTCCAGCTACAATAATCTTTCTGAAGTTAATGTCAGGTGTTGGCATTTGAAAAATTACCTTCACCCAGCCCACTACTCTGCACAGGATGGTGTAGAACTGGGAGCTTTTCTATTTAATACATTTTTTGGTGCACTGACAAGTGTGTTCAGAAATACCAAACTGGCCACCACATCTCACTGAACCCATTCTAGATAAAACCAAAAATAGCCTATCTGAATGAATAACCAAMCCCACAAACTTCAGTGATGGCCTATTAATTAATTTGTGACCTGTGTGATGCAAATTGGGTCACCAAATTCAGTACCTGAAGGGAGCTTACAAGAAAGATGAGGAGAGACTCTTCACAAGGGCCTGGAGGGAAGGACAAGGGGAATGGCTTCCCGCTGCCAGAGGGMAGGGATGGATGGGATATTGGGAAGGAATTCTTGCCTGGGAGGGCAGCCAGGCACTGGCATAGGGTGCCCAGAGCAGCTGCAGCTGCCTCTGGATCCCTGGCAGTGTCCAAGGCCAGGCTGGACATTGGGGCTTGGAGCACTCTGAGACAGTGGGAGCTGTCCCTGYCATGACAGGGGGTGGGATGGATGGGCTTTAAGGTCCCTTCCAGTATTCAGTGAAGATTCTATGAAATAGTTGGACAGTAAATACTCCTTATGGGGTCCTCGTGCCCCAAACCTGACTCAGCTTTGTGTGACAGCCTTGCAGCTGGATGTGGTGTATGGGCAGATCTCCCTTTACACTCATCAGGAGTACTGCCTTGCCCTGCTGACACTTAAATCCTGACCAAACCCTGCTGCAGCAGGATGGGATAGCAAGACCCAGCTGGCCTCTACTGCTTTATCTGTCCTTCCAGAGAATTCCTCTCCCATTGGAGGGTCACCTCCGTATCAGCAACAGCTTCCCCTGCAAGAACTACTGCAATACATCACTGAAAACTCATTATCTCTATTAAGACTTCCCATGCAGTCACACATCAGAGGTGCACAATTCTTGGATCTCCACTGTGCCATAAAGGAGAAACCCCTCCATTGCTGTGGAGCTGTCCAGCTCTGCAACCATTAGGGCTCTTCTCTTTTACCTCAAGCCCACCAGCCAGCTCACTTGTAACGTGTGGTAAGATGTGGTAATCCACAAAATATCACTAGAAGAACCCTGAGTGGAAAGATGTGTAAGTCCCACCCTGTGCAGCCAATTGCCTTGTCGTTCAATGCCCACTCATGCTCTGCCATCTCACACAGCAGGGTGTGATTCATATGTTGCAGCCCGGTTGGGTTTTTGTGACATTTCAGTGGGTGTGCTCGGCAGGATTGCTGGGGATAGATTAGTACAGAACTAAACAAAATGTGTGCACCATCCCAGGCTGGAGTCGGATAGGCATGGGAATTTTGGAAAGATGAGGACAAAGTATTAGAGCGAATAGAACAATGTAAAAATCAGCTGAAAATAAAAGGAGGAAATGGTAAACGAGTTACTTGTACAGTTTTGGGAGTTTGTTTATCTTGGGCACAAAAGGAAATGCAAAGCTCCCAAATGCCCCAAAGATTGGAAATGTGGAATATACTCCATAGCAGAGTCTCAGACCTGTGGACCCTTAAAACAATTTTATCCTGGTGGAACAGTAGCAGCTTGAGCTGTCACCTCTGAGGAAGGACCCTGAACAAAGAACCTCATGGCTTTTATACCCTTACAGCTCAAGTGTGATAATCTGGGGTCTTCCTGCTCTGAGTGCCAGGTCACAGGCTGGCGCCASAGGTCCCCAAGCCCTTTGCTGAGCCAGCCCTCTCCTACAATCAAATTTAGTCTGCCAAATCCAACTTTTCACTCTGATCCACCACCAGGATCATAATTGTCCTAAGGATGTAAAAATGCCTGTTCTTCCTGGAACATTCCTGTTGCCTAGACCCCTGAAAGCACACTGGGAATCTGTATGGATATTGCCTCTTTTCCCAGATGGGCTGTGCACATCAAAGTTGCTGGTTCTGCTTCCTGTGCTGGGCATGGCTGCTTCTCCCTGTCCCTGGCTCACCCCAGCACCAACCCTGGCCCTGTCCTTGCAGAGAAGAGGATGAGCAGTTTGCAAATAGACCTTTACCTGGGTTAGGTGAGGGAAAATCAGTGAATTCAGTTCACCTGGAACATGCCACTTGCTCACACTGGTGATGCTTTGATTCATCATCACATTTCAGGCTTGCTGCATTTCAGATACTTTTTAAAGTCATATCGGTGCCTGTTGTGGCATCACAGCTTGGCCTGTTCCTGCTGCCACTGACTGAACACAGGCTGCTGCAGCTACTGCACCTGCATCCACTTAGGACTGATCCTCCACAGGCTCCTAATTTCCCTCTTTTCCTGGGCATGCCACTGGGGGATGTCCAGGCCCAGATGATCCCACTGACAGAAATGTGCCCTGAGCCCAGGGACCCTGAGCATGAGCTCCCCCAGCCCATCAGGGCCCTGCCACTGGTCACAGCAGCCCTGGACCCGGCTCCTGCCAGCCCACACCATGGGCATCCACGGCTGCTCCTGGGCACAGRGCTCAGGCAGCACTGGTGCCATGTGGGCTTTGCTGCTGGACACTGGTGTGAAAACAGTATCTCTTTATTGGAACCTCAGAACTGACTTTGGAAGCTCTCTGTCAAGATTGTGTAGAATGCTTCCCAATCCTTTCCAGGGGGGTTTATCTTCAGCCTTGGCCTGTGGCCTCAAAGTGTTGCAGAAGTTGGTGGCGCAAATGAAAACTGGTCAGACTCAGAGCTGCTGCTGGAGCTGTTGTGACTGTAGAGGTCTTGGGACCAGCCACCAGCTTTCAGCTTTTCTTCAAGGTGCTGTCTATGGAGAGAGGAGGTGGCTGATGTCCCCAGCTGCAACTGAGACACAGGGACCCTCATCCACAGCAGGGCCCAGAGCTGGCCAGGCTCCCCAGCACAGCAGCAGCTGCTGGCACAGCTTGGCCCAACTGGACAGCTGCCCCTCAAGGSCCCAGCGAGCAGGGGATGGCTGCCGGCAGGGTCCCTGGACAGGAGCGGGCCCGGAGTGTGGCTGCATTCCAAGGGCAATCTCGTGTCCTGCTCTTTCTCCTCCCCACCTGGCTTTGCCTCTGCCCTCTGCTCCTGGGGCTGCTCTGGGCCAGGCAGCCTCACGGGCAGCCAGCACTGGCTCCAGCCTGAGCAGGCTCCGCAGATCAAGGCCCAGCAATTACGAGGCCAATTAAAGCACTGCCCAGCAGCAGAGCCCTCAGCAGAGATATTTGGAGAGCCACTGACTTGCCACATCTCTGCAGTAGCCTCACTGGGAGTGTCTCCTGTGTACAAGCAGCCTTAAAAGGAAGCTGTTTTAGAGGGCTATGAACAAAACACTCACTGTTTCCTCTTCCAGCAGTACCAGATTCCGGCACAGCACAACATGAAGACAAGTTCCCCACTAGCCACAATAGCCATTAACTCAAATAAGCAGCGCGTTCCATGACAGACACCTCCTCCTATGCCCTTCTGTGCACGGGGATCAGGTGTTGTGGTGCTGGCTGCATCTGCGGGAGCAATGGGGAGCGTGAGCCCRCGCTGTGCRGYGCTGCTGAGATGGCAGCACGTTGGCTACTGCCAGGATGTTCTCTGTTTGCCCCTGAGCTGGGGCCTGCAGGCACCATGCCGCCCCTTGGCACAGGCTGTGTCACCCTGTGATAAACACATATTATAGTGTTGGTTTTTGCAGAGATTAAAGATAGATGCTATGTGTTGCACATGGTGAAATAATATTGTAGCAGTTTAGTTATACAGACATAGTTGTGAAATTATCACTGTTCTTCATGTTTTGCTTTCGTAACTCAGTTATAGTTATAGAATACTTGTGATTAAATTGCAATAACTGAAATATTGTAGATTCGGACTTAAAATTTTCCACAAAGGATTTTTTTTACACATTA